TAATATATGTTATTCATATTTTTGAAAGATTAAGAGAAGTTATATTTATTTCAGAAAATAAAAAAAGATATATTTATAGAAGATATGATTTTTTAAAGATATCTATAGATAGATATCCACAATCCCAATAGCTATAAAATTATAATAAAGAATTATTTTAAATAAAATAAATAATTGGTGTGTATTGTTATTTAATGAATATAATATTAACGTGCTAAATCCCATTCAGTTAATGCAAATTTTAATTAGACTTACAAACATTTGAATTATGTTTCTTTTGTGTCATTTTCCGTGTAGCGAGAAAAATCTGAAATTTAATTAAAAAGTTAAAGTGAGTTTACACAGAGTTGCGGCAGTCTCACGGCTTTCAATGATTTGAGGGTAATTATATTCTTAAAGTAATTGTTTTATAGCTATACTTATATATGTAAATAATATAAAAAAAGTTATTACCAGTTATACAACTTATTTAAATGTATAATGTATTTTTAAGGCGCGAAAGCAAAAACAAGCCTTTTTTTATTCGACGGCCTGTTTGTTCGAATTGCAGCACAGATAATGGTATTTTTATTGGATTATAAAAGTTTTTAGAAAAACATAGGATTCGGTTTAAAAATATTTAAACTTTCGTTTCTATATTTATAAATCAATATAAAGTTAGTTATTGTTTAGTTTTTGTATCTTTAGGAATGCGTAGTTTAATATATAAATATGAAGTGTTTATTTCACATACTAAATATTTATATAATTAACTAGCTTTCCGCCCGCAGCTTCGCCCGCGTGGAGTTCGGTTTATCGCGTTTCCAAAAGAACCTTTCAAAAGACTGGGATAAAAACCATCCTATGTTATTTCTCAAGGTCAACTCTATATCTGTACCAAATTTCATCAAAATCAGATCAGTGGTTTAGACGTGAAAGTGTAACAGACAGACAGACAGAGTTAATTTCGCATTTATAATACATATTAGTAGGGATTATTAGAGTGGATCTAGTAGTAGAAATCTAGAAAATTATTTGCAAGAATGAAGTGTGTTCAAAAATATATTGTTTAAATTTTATAAAACAGAATATTCATAAATGTACTCTTGGTAGGAAAACATGACGTCATTAGGTAGTACGGTTTACAAAGACTGGCTCGAGACAGGGATACGCACACATTTTTGTGAGCTCATTAAAATTACATTACTGCTCTTATTTAAAGAGCAAACAACTAAACGACATTCGTTAATGCGCCCCGTCGATGGATTTTTACGGACATTCTCAGAGAGAGCCGAATAAAAAAACAGCCGACCTAATTATAAGGAATACGCCACATGTTTGAATTGTATTGCTGAAATGTATTCAAAAAGAGTCGGGTCAAGCATTTCATTGTATGAATATTTCAAAGAAATATTGCAGCTTTAGATACCTACTGTTTCTTTTTTTATATAGATCTCCGCGGTGGAAATGTAAAAAAATTAAAAAGCTAGCGGCTAATTAAGCTCCAATTAACCTCAGAATAAATACTAATAGCTGAGCGGTTCTTTGCATTGTTCGTACTAATTAGAAGACGTATTGTTCGCGATGTCGTTAAAATTATTTTGCTTCGTATCTTTGTTATTCTCACGGAGATTTCAAGACATTTGTTTAACAACTTGATGTATTTTTAAGTGACACAAGAAGATTATTATATGGAGTACAGTCAATTAGTAATGTGCAAAATATAAAATACTAGAAGACCTGGCGAACTTCGTATCGCCCTATAATCAAGAAATATCTATTACGTTTTTTTATTTATATTTTTGGAGTTTACCTGTAAGCCATAAATCTCCGTGTTTTGAAGTGCGACAGAATGATTGACATATTAGTTAATTGTCAAATCTAATGTCAAAAAAAAACCGTTTGTATGGGAAATAGAAAAGGGCTGTTTTTATTGTTTTCCCAGTAATGAATCAATTTTTTTCAGCTTTTATACCTTCCCTGAACCTCCACGAACATTTCAAGACTAAGATAAGATAAATCCGTTCAGCTGTTCTCGAGTTTTAGCGAGACTAAGAAACAGCAATCCATTTTTATATATATAGATTTAAAAAAAATCCTCTAAGTGCATTTCACGAATGTAGTATGTACATGTTGGCTTTACATAATAAAGAGCTTTGTTGAATTACTCCAATACACGCAACTGTGTAAATAACTGAGAGCAAATACATAGCCCTATTAAAGTATTACGAAAGCTGTATCAACCGTACCATTTGTGTGTGGTACAGACATTTAATATCGTATTTTTAATAACTATAGAATTATGGCTTCACAATAATAAAATTTAATACGTAAGTAGGAATGACGATTTATATTTATTTTGATGTCTTAGTAAGTGGAATAAGATCTCTTATAAGTCGATCGTATCAGATTACACTGCTATATTTAAATTAAACTAATATTTTTCGGATATACTACGCATGCATTATTATTGAAAAAAACTACTTATTCCCGCGTTTCGAATACTTTTCAGTAACCGTGATCACTGGCAGACGAAATGTGTGAAAAGTAGCCGAAACGTCGGAAGTATGTAGTTTTTTTTACAAAAATTAAGCACGCGTAGTAGGTATATACTAAAACTATTAGTTTTATTTATTCTGAGGCAATATAGTGTGTGGTTATAAAACGATTTGAATGTATAAAATTTATTATTATTTATGTTGTTCATAGTAACACAATTTGATATCATCGCTTAGAGTTACACGATAAACAATTATATAGCTTTGTTATATAATATTAAATTATCTTTTACTCGAGTAATTTAACTGTTTGTCAACATGTTTCTATATTCGGAGAAACCGAAAATTACTTATTCTAATTTGATCTCCAATTGAATATTTTGATATACTTTGAATACATTTTAATTTTTATGAAGTTAATTTGTTGAGATTATTCATACATTATGTATAAAAATAGTCAAGTCAGTGGTGGCCTAGTGGTTAAGGGGCTCGCCTCTCGTTGCCGAGGGCGCGGGTTCAAACCTGGCAAGTACGTAGTGTGATTTTTCGGAGTCATATGTACTTTCTGAGAGTATTTAGACATCACTGACATACGGTGAAGGAAAACATCGTGAGGAAACCTGGACTTAAGGTTTCACAATTATAAGTTTGAAATCACCAACCCGTCTTGATCAAGCGTGGTGATTAATGCTTAAACCTCCTCCATGTGAGAAAGAGGCCTTTGCTCAGCAGTGGGCGTCTGATAGGCTGGTGATGGTGATGATGTATAAATAGAGGCAATTAGAGAACTAAAAATAGTTTTTTTGTAGTGTATGAAATTATTCGTTATTACTAAGAATAATATTTACACTACGAACTTTTTAGAATTGAGAGTCTTCGCAGTATATGTATAACGAGTTATAAGTTTAACCTTACGAAAATTTGCGACATAAATAAGGGTAATTCAAAAGGGCCATGATTTTTTTTTACCATGACCCATTTTTCATTTTAATATAAACGAGATATTATTTTGTTTATAGCCATTTTTATTTCCTTAAATGAAACACAACGAATGTCTTTAAATAAATATATTTATTTACATAATAACGGTAGGATGAAAAATAACTCTGTCGATGTTTGAAAAAAGTTTTTTATTTGTCGTTCGTCTGACACAAAAATTTTAAAGAGAAATTTCTAAACTATCATTTAAATCTATTTAACGACAGTTGACATTTTTACATAAATACATCTTTGTAATTTTAGAAATTATTTTATTTTACAGTTTTATTTTCATTATAATATATTTTTAAAAAATTGAAGCACAGACAGTTAGTTCCATACAATTTTTATATTTCACATCAAAAACAACGTAGCTATTTGAATAATTAATTAATTATTAATTATTTTACAGTATCTGTATATGCGGTCAACATTTATCGAAGCTATGGCAAAAGATAATATACAATTTATAAAATATCCTAATTATTATAACTTTTTTTATTTATACAGAATGTCCTTAACTATCAACCATTGCACCACATTAATATTACCAAAAAAAATGGTATCAATCATATTATAATAAAGTACCTAATTTATCAGTTAGTGCGAACATCAAATCAAAGATATCTTTGGCAAAAAATAACATTAACTACATATTAAATCAACCGATTCATAGAGTGGAAAAGAATAAAAAATAATAATAAAATTAAAACTATGCACAATATTTCATACCTTGTATGATAACAACGTTTAGGTTTACACTAAAAAATTTTTATACAACAATGAGATCGATTTAATCAATATAATATCGGAACCTACTCGTTGTATGTAGAATTTTGGATTAATAATAAATAAAATATTTAAAAATAATTCTAGTTACAGTGAAATAATATTAGATGTGTATAAATTATCCGGGCGAAAGAGGCTCGTCTGAACGGGTACGACTCGCGTCTTGTACCCACGCGACACTATCTTAACGCATAGACTCAAATCGTATACATAATGGAAATATCGTGTTCTGACAATGTTATCGCCCGGACTCATCCCGGACATTTTGTAAAGTGGCCTCATACTTGTAGCCTAATGTAGTTTTGCGGCGCTGCTAGAATGTGTTTCAGACACTTCGATGTAATACTGCACTTAGCCCGTTTTGCATATATTCACTCCGCAGTCGCTCAACGCTTTTAATAGTCTAATGAACTGCAGGTTTCATTTTAACAGCACTTAAACGTTTTACACAGTCGAGTCTATGAAATTAAAGCATTACGTCACTTGCCGGTGAAGAGATTTGTGATAATGAGATTACGTTTTGTGTTTACATTCGTGTGTTCTTATGAAGTATTCGAATAATTCGATTCACGAATGCACTTATCCTTGTTTGTGTCGCCATTGCTCAGTGAGGTTTCACCTACGAAAAGTAAAATGAATTAACATTAATAGGCATACATTGTGTATAACAGTTAGTGTGCTTGCCGGCTTATTTAACCATTTTCATATGAAACAATAGAATATTACCGGAGCAAGTAGTCGACGGTTCATTGTCGGTCATCGTGCATCACAGACATCTGGATCAGGTGGGCTGCCGTAACCGCTGGAAGCATCATCGGCGCCCGCGCAGCCGCCGTTATCTTTGTCCAACGGCACAACCGCCCCTCCAGGACAACCGCCCCCAACGTACGCATTACTCGGCGACTAAAACATAAATAAACAATAAACAAAAGCCCAAGCCAAACAATGCCAGCGATTCCATCGAATATCCAGTGAGCGCAATCAAAAAGTCGATTAGAAATGTCGTGCGGCTGAATGGTCGCCCTTCACTCGCGCGACTCATAAAATGAAATAGATTCCCCAACATTCGCATTCCGACAAGCGTTCGTACGAGAAAGATTAATGATCACAAAAGAAACATAATAAAGTGGAGATAGAATCTTCCACTAACGGTGTCCTTGTGGGAGTTATTTACTCCTTTGGTGTTTATTTTTCTTATGCCTCTTTTTTTGGCACAACATTTTAAGATATATATTCGCAATGACTCTATTATAAAAACATATACATTCAGTTGTTAAAAATAATGAGTTAAAAATATCGAGGTATAAGCGTAATATGATCTCAGTTCAAGTTATAATGGACACGACTTTATAATTTAATATGATTGGAAAGTATTGGACCACGTAATAGGTCTGAGTTTAATTGTTGTCGTGGCGGGCGGTCGGAGCGACACGTGGTGAGAACCGGCAATGTGGTACCGCATTTATCAATGATAAAATATTAACGTAATTAAAGACCGCAGCTCGACATTAATGCATGCTGGTTACCGTGCTATATATAAAGTACTTTTGTGCTATTTAATATTTAAATCCATTACTTAATCTGCTGAATTATAATACAAATAATGAGTTTTAACAAGTTAAGTGTGTTTAGTACCTGTAATCCACTGACTTGTCTCCTGATGTGAGCTAAGCCACTAGGATTAGCCGCCATGCTGGCAAAAACCAGCCTCTCCTCATAATCATACTCACAGAGTATCTTGTTGTCGCAAAGATAGAATCTATCGCCCACACAAAACCTGAATAGATTTATGAAACATTACTTATCCGAGTCATTAAAAATTTTAATAGGAAAGGATGTGTACATGTCCGTCGTGTAATTTTACTAGCTATAAAATATTAATCTTGATTTATATTACCTGTGGTTGCACTGTTGACAGGCGAAGCATTCTAAGTGGTAAACAAAACTCTTCGCACGCATTACCATTTCGAATGCTGGAATGACTTTGTTGCACGCCACGCAATTGCCGGTAGCACCGAATAACCTAAGTAATATTTATAAAATATAACTTACACATAATATACTACACCACACAAATTCTAATATCGTAATATTATGTAATTTTAATATAATATTAAAAATATTTCAATATACTGTTACAATATTAAGAGTTTTAAAAAGCAATGCCATAATCCCCTATTTATTATTTCGCTTGCCTTCTGCTGGTCCGTATCTTGACAGGTAACAGTAATATTATAATCTGTATTATATTTTTACATAAAGCTTATTACTCAGTTGTGTTTTAATCCCAATATATTAATAAAAACAGACAGAGAATTAAAAAGCTAGTGTCCACATTTAAAGTTGTAAATTTCTTTTAATACGCTGAATTAAGTTTAATAGGTTTATAAGCTTAATATAAATGAACATTTGCATTAATTTAAGTTCTTACTTAATATATAAAATATAAATATATTTTTAATGGCAACTCACCTAAGATAGTCTCTCTTGCAAAGCATGAGATCGGCTTTATAGTATAGTTTTGAGCCGACTTCTCCTAAGCGGCAGTCACAGCAACCACACTTGAGGCAGTCTTCGTGCCAGAAGCGTTCCATGGCTTTGAGAAGGAACCTCTCAGTGATAACCTTCCCACATTGAGCACAAAGTCTCGCACCCCCCGCATTAGTAGCGACAGTATTTAACGTACTGCTGAGAGAATACTTGTTTTCATCTTGTTGATCTGTTATAACAGAAATATTAAATATATATAATATAAATCGTTGTAATTCTATTATAAAAGAATACTCTTACATCTAGGTTAATTAACAGACATTCAATATAGCTTAATTATCAATTAACGTTAAGCTAAAATTAAGTTTAAAACGGTGCAAAATATTTTTATTTCACTGTAAGCAGCTTAAAGTGCTTATATTATTAAACTAAAGGTACGTGAGCGGACACTTAATGCATTCTGTTTCGCTACAGACTGTAAAATTGTTTGTAATATGCTATTCATTACGGAATGCTAGCTTAATTATTTTCTCTCATATAATTGCTTCAATTAATTCCAGCAGATGCAACCGCGTGACGTTCAAGCGAACTCTGATGTCATTTTGCGTGAATATTTTTTAATTTATTTCAATATAGGCCATATATAAAGTACGTGCTACGAGCATAATATAATTAGACTTTCTTTGGCATACATTATAAAAAATTATACAGGGTGACTGGTGAATTACTATCGATATTTGAGGACGTGATATTTGATGATCATATATGACAAAATAAGAATTAATATAACATATATATTAATAAACTTCTAAGTAAAGTTAACCAAAAGTTATGTAATTAATTACGCATCGTATGAACACCCTACAGATTAGGTATACACACACACACACACACTCGCGCGCGGCGGCGCGTTGTTGTATCAGCATGCCGCCGCACGCGTCCACACTTGGAACACTTGGAACGTCTCCACACTGTATTTATTTATAAGGAAATTTGGTCATAAAATTAAGTACCTATTTTTTTTACATAATTCGAATGAGAATCATGTACCGAGTATGCTCCTTAAATATTGATAGTAATTCACCAGTCACCCTGTATAAAGTAAGTGCTACGAGCATAATATAATTAGACTTTCTATGGCATACATTATAAACAATTCGATTTATTTGAAAGGCGTAATACGTATGGTTGTGGTTATATTTAAATTTTGCAACAGGCTGGTAGCAAAACGAATCAAACGCACAGAGTAAACACATTCAATCGCAATCAGTTCGATTGTAACACAAGGCTCACATGGCGCGGACGTCAGACCAATCAAGAAGGCAATTGAAGGGTTAACTAGGTGGACATAACTCACAGCGATCGATCACTTGCGCATCGCGACGATATATCTCGCTCATTGGAGCCGACGTCGTGACAATAAAGTTAATTGGACTATATTAATGACGGCTCGTTAATAATAAAATAATAAAGATGACGTATAGCCTCCGGGCGGTGCAAGTAATTAGGGAACGGCGGGAACGGAATCCGCTGATTTATTTACAGATACATACATATATAAAATATACTGATATTTAATAAATACCACATAAAAACAATGTATATACTTTTAAGTATTAGTTGGATTTATTGACGTGTAAGAAAAAACTATAATATATAAATTTTACGAGAAAACTGAAGTAAACATATATATTTTTTAATGGACAGCCTCCGGTTTGACCATAACTGGTGTATTATGCCCATTTGAGACACTGCAGGTTGTTAATGTTGTAATTAAGAGTTGTTCTAACGATCGATTATAAAGAATAATGATAACTCCGCTAAAGCAAACAACATTATAAATTAATAAACGCATTCATTCAATACTATATTGTATATATTTCTCACGCTAAGTAGAAAACCACTTACAGTTAATTATGGGTAAAGCGGACGATGTAATGACAATAATTAATAATACCATTTATGATTGAACATTGCATAATACTTTTACAGAAACATAAAAGGTATTTGGGTGTGGCTGATAATGTCTCAATGCGAACCCAATAAGCATTACAAGTCGACTCAGTAAAGTGGCATTTACATAAATGTCCGCAAGTAAGAAATCCCGTTTTGTATTTTCCATTTTTATTGCCGACACGTCGCGAATTTGATAGAGATTTGGCTGGTAACCGGCCTGCTCGTATTTCGCAAACACCCGGTTAACATATTAAGGCGATGAAACGAAAAGAAACAAGGAAATGGATTAAAAGTAATTTATTTTAACGCGAGCGAAACGACAATAGTGCGGCCACATATTATGGCTATTAAGCTTTGGAACTGCCGTCTCGAATGGACATAATTGCAAAGCCTGTTAATTCACTCCGCGCTATTAATTCCCAACTTCCCGTTGGTATTGACCGTAATATAAGCTCGGTAAACAATAGTCGACGATAATTATTATTGATATCGGTAATTTGTTTATTAAATCAACCAAAAATTATAACTTTGCTACAGTTGTTAAATGATTCAATAATCAATTTGTTTAGAGTACTCGGAAACATTGTAATAAAAAATCATAAAGCAATTTATTTTGTGGTTCAATTTAAATTAATATAACTGCCTAACTGATCTATTAGTTATATTAAATGATTATTAAAAAATAACACGATGATTTATGACCGTACGTATTAAATTTTGTTATTGGATTTCACAATGTAATTTCAATTATAATCCAACATGTCTGTAACACGTTATTCGAGCATAGTAATGTGTAAGGTATATTATAATTGGATGATATTTTAACTGTGGTGTAATTAAATGAATTTATTGTTATTTCGATTTAAAATGTAACATGATCGAAGGCAGTCGCTGTACGTGTGCGTGTTTCCACTACAACATAACTCTGATTCAATTAAATGCTAGCTTATTGTAATGTAACCGCGTCACGATGCTGCAATCATTCCGTGCAATTTACAATCGTACGCTGCGTATGCAATTAACTTTGACTTCACGTCGCTGTACGTCAAGAATAATCAATATGGTACGCACATTATCTTAATTTCAACTTAAAATTTTACGTATACTGGCGTCTTGACTTTCTATACCTCGCTTTTGGCATATCCAACTATGTATAAGCATCATGAAATAATTATAGCTGACATAAAATTAATGAATTAAATTTTATGTATTTGTTCTTTTAATAAATTCACAATAGAGAACAAATTGAATGCGTATATCGAATTTATGAAATATTTGAACATTTAATATCTGGTATCGCTGTTTCATAGACCGTTGATATAATGAGTTAAATTTGTACATTAAATTTTATGAATTTAACGCTATTAATATACACAATTAGTGAGGTTCACCATTTAGAATGTTTTATAGCATATTAAGTTGTCGGTCACTCGTTTAACAATAGAGTTGATTGCTTTGCTATATTCATTATACGGGCCTAATTAGATACAACCGAATGCGGGTTTTTGACTTAATTAATGTTAAAAAAAAAAAAACAAATACATTTACAATTTACATTACCGTACTTTCTAGAAATTATGCTCGTATGTCAGGTAATTGTAATTCCATCTGTTGCAATTATAATGATCGTATACAATTCTAATTAACTTCAGTTTTTGCTTGTATATGCGGGTTAGAAAATAACGCGTCGATTGAATAGTGTTGAATAGAAAATAGTTTACATGGAAATGTGTTGTGAGAATTGTAATAACATTGTAGTGTATTATTGAAACTTTAAATTCATTATTGTATTGGTCTATAGTCTATGCAGACAGGCTCTATCGTAAGAGTTAATAAGTATGAGAATGTAGCATTATATTCACTGAGTTATGTATATAACTTTATTAAAATTCCAACTAAAAATAATGAGTAAAAAGCGTACCGGAAATACTTCCCACACCCCCAGCCGAAACCTCTGTCGTTAACATTCGCCGTTATTAAAAAAGTACAAAGTTTGTCATCAGAGAAGTTAGTTTTTTTTAATTAAAATTATGAAATTGATACTGCCTTTACGCTGTAGCTCGCTTCCCGAAGCAACCTTGTGAAAGTTTAAATTAATTTTTGAATTAAGCCTAATGGCAGTGGTAAACGATTTCTAAAGAAAGAGTTTTCTGTTTGAGCAATTAAAATTCCAATTATTTTATGGCAGAAAACCGTATCTTAATTGCTTTTTATTACTGGGAATTAAAAGATGATTATATTTATTTTTTCCCGGAAAGCAATACTTATTTATAATAGGATGCTGTTGAAGAAGCATGTCTTGTAATTGGAATGCTACAGATTCTAAGAATATTTTAAAATGTAATTACATGATGAAAACCGAGATAATTCTGTAAAAGGAATTTATTAATCAATATTGTGTCCCTACAACGGTTTAAATGTAAACCAATTCAGTCGTTTAGTTCATATTAAAGAAGCCGAAGTAAAGGAAACAATCAAATCTTTATTAAGTCAAAATCAACGTCATAAATTATTTTCTCGGAGAATGGCTACGAAGGCAAGTTAAGCCTGACATAAGTGAGCAATAAACTTCAGCCAATTTGGAGATTCGCATCTGGAGGCTCTTATTAAAGCCCGAAAGTTAGTCCTTTTCATCCATCACTCGTAATACGTATGTGAGTTATTGTATGAAAAATTGAAGAATAAATTGAGTCGCTGCAGCAGCGCCGAGACATAAATCCCAACTGAGCCCTCAATATTGTTTTAAAGGGGAAGTGGCCATAAATTTTATCAGGGCCGCCCAAGCCGCGGGCACCACGGCTCCTCCGCTTTTCCAGCCACCAGTTTCGCCACGATGCCAGCAAGAACTTACACGTACGTAACACTGTCTTTGCAATTTTCCGCAGTTGCGTGCATTCGTCGCCCAAGTGAATTTGTAGCGTTATTACAACAAAAATCGATGGCTCTCGGTCGGTTCGAGCAAATAACGTGAAATAGGAAACGTGAACGAATTAAAAATATGATATTATTCCGTCTAAAGCCTCTGTATTAGTTTACAAACGTCCAATTTAAATAGATAGATATGATATTTGAAAACAATATCGTGATAAAAAACGCGTACAGATATTCGATTTTCCATCTGGTTGAATTACTTAATAACTGTAATAACGCAAAACACGATTTTGATTACGATAAGAGTCATAAAGAACGACTGAGTCGAAGCGGGGGTTGGGAGCCACGAAGAAACTTATTGGAGACGGTATAAAACGCATTTTAGAAACAAAAGGATGAGATAGTAATTGGATAACATTAATGTGTCATTCCGTTTAAGGTAAGGAGATAGGATAGCTTTGTGGGGAACAATAAAAAATCGCTTATTTTTATCAATACGATCTGTATGTTGGACATTTCGCATAAATGTGATATTGCAATATCGTTCGGCCCCTTTTTTAATATCGCGACGGACGTCGCTGGGCGGTTTATGGCACAACCCTTGCCGTTTTATTCACGACCTGTTTGTCCTAATATTGTAAAAAAATTACGTCAGCAAAACGAGAATCGCTTTTATATATTATTTTTGCTTTTCTCGAGTTATTTATATGATATGCTAGTTCATCTATTATTAGAAATATATCTGAATGAATGTTATCCTAACAAGAATACTCTTAAGTGGATTTATATGAAAATACAGTAATATACTTAAGGCTGACTATAGGAGAAAGATAGTGCCTTTGTATTCTAGATACATGCTTACGAGATTTATAGCGTAGGATCATAATACTAGCGGTAAATTAAGGTCTAAATTAATTTTAAATGTTAAGGAAATAATTATTAACCGCGCTCTCGATTTGTTTACTGAAAACAGATATAAATTAAAACTAATTACTAGTTCTAATGACAGAGTCGAATTTGGTAGTTATATAATGAGTCGAAACCTCAGCATTCCATGGATTCACCGTGCGGGTGCCAGGTCCATCGCGTTGTAGTGAGAGGAGCTTCAACAGTGCCTGGGACTTGTGACCCAGGTGTAGGTTTAAAGGCATATCTAACGCGCGTTAAACGCTCACCTCCACTGTCCAAGCTCCTCTCTCTACCTAACCATATACATGATTATATATGTATGTATGTATGTATGTATATTTAAAATGTATTACAAATAACATACTGTTGGCGTTGTCGGGTTTATGCATTGCCGGCGGATCACGGATCATGTTGATGACGTCACACTATCATCACACAGCGGTTTATTATATCCTGAAACAATGGAAGTGGATTAGTGCCACACGTACCGATAATTTTAATTAATATTCAATATTACCTTAACACTGTTAATATGACTACATAATTATGGCTAATTAACTTTCGATAACAATTATATATCAAATTACTCTTGATAATTAGTACGTTAATTAGATTGATAATTAATACATATATATTTAGTTGTTTCAAAATTTATATTGATTGTTTAAAAACATTTATCAAGTCAGTGGTGGCCTAGTGGTTAATAAGGCCCGCCTCTCATGCACTCATGCACGAAGACGCGGGTTCGATCCTGGCCCGGGCAAAGTACCAATGTGATTTTTAGTACCAATGTGATTTTCCCGAGTCATATGTACTTTCTAAGAGTATTTAGACATCACTGATTAATGCTGATTCCCAAAAGAGGGTTGATGTCAGACAGGCGTCGGTCGTAAAAACAATTAGCCAAAACTATTCGCAACGTGTGAGGCAGACCCTGGGTATAGCTGGGAAATAGCCAAGTAGAAGAAGAATTTATCTTGTGGTAGTATTTTAATATATAATTCATATAGTAATAGTATGGACGATATACGGTTCAGAGCGACCGTCTTGAACACACCGCTTCTGACTGCCTCATTAGAATAAACGATATCCTTTCCTTACGTCCACTCCGTGCGAGACCTTATTACTACGACAAAATGCCGTCAAACGGCAACACAGGACTTGGGCCATATACAAAAATGTACCTTATGATTTAGCAATGAGGTCGGAAATTGAATATTACACGATCCGAGTACTATCTGGCGATATATATCCTCCTTATATAAAAGACACAGGGTCCAATTTCAAATACATACAAAGTAAAACAGCAAACGTACGCAGTTTAAAGGTTAAGATGTCCATGGTAGTTGTAAGCTAAACTATAAAAGCGTTAATATAGGTTATTATAGCTTGACATTTGATGCCTATTATCTAAGAAATATATCTTTAGTTAATTAAAAGCATTTAATATATTTTCTCTTTGTGTGCACGAGAATAAATCTTAAGTTCTCTTTTATCATATAATTTATGGTTCACAAGTCATTTGTAATAATGAAAAGTCGTAATTTACTGTTTGCTTTTACAGATCGATTTAATTTTGTTGTCATAATAGATTTTACTGTTCTTTGAGCTAATATATCTATAAATAGATTACAATAGTTTATATATATTCAACATTAAGGAAGTTTCCTCCGACATTGTCAAGTTTAAAGAAACGTTTTAGTACATCTCAATTCCCATCAGCACCTGTTACAATAGCGGCTATCAAATTACTCGCGACATATCCGAGCGCCTTCAACCATAAATACGGTATTCGTTATGCATTTCTCATATTCATGAATCCGTTTTATTGGCCCCAATAAAATATGAACATCTCAGAATGGATATGAGAGTACGGGCGAATCTAATATGGATTGCTTGCGCTGGATTCGAACCGATTGGATGGGGCAGGCAGCTGTGTTCATACGAGTTTCTATAAAGCATTAAAATTACAAAAGCCTTTCCCATTCGTTAAGAATTATTTACTTTCATTCACGCTAACAAGTTTGATAGCAGCGGATTAAATTACTTGAATGACTTTTTATATCCCACGACACCAGTCATTGTTATGGGATTAAGTTTATAAAGACATACATACATACTAGTATAATAAAAAAGTATCACGTCATCTTAGAAAGAGGACGATCAGTCTCAGTCACAATGGTGGTAGCTGGGGCGTACCGACAAAGGAGTAATTGTCTACGCGCGTAACTCGCCGCATAATGCGAATTTAAAGTCTACTGTCGGACTAAACCAGGCATAAAAAGATCAGCCCTTCGAGCAGACGTGTCAAAAATTCAGTAGAGTGCCGGGATAAGTGGAATGGATGGTTGCGACGCAGCCCCGAATAAAATATTCTATGTCAAATCGTACGTCTCTGGCTCTCTACTTGTTCCCTGATAGTGCTTTGGGGAATTTATTCCTATTCTTGAGCCTAGTATTTAAGAAGTACTCAACCAGAGTAATGAAACGATTTTAACATTTAAAACAATCATAAAATATTTTCAAACGTCAGAAAGTTTATTTAATAATCATTAAGCCGGTAAGTCTATTGGACTATCTGAATTATATTTACGTTATCGACGTGATCAATTAAGCAACATTACGTTAAAATTCACCCCAACCATCAATTACGAGCCAACCGCCGACAAGCATGACGTAAGACGAGAGTGGATATTACCGTGCATATATTATTTAATATATTTTTTTGTAGAGCGATAATATTTGGATGCATTCAACAAGCTATCAATCCATTTACGTAAAACTAATCTCGCCCTTCTGACTCGGCACTGATCGAATTCATTATTCACCGGCAGAGCAATTAAAGCTCCACTAATCAATCTCAAACTTCAGCCAGAGCTGAACTCTAATCAAGAAAACTCCTATTCCGTGAAAGCTTTTCGAACAAAATTTAACTTAATTAAAAATGTAAATTAAATTCCTAGTCGCTTCCACAAGGATCACATCGGCCCGCGCCGCTGAACGCTCGGGGCTTTTGATTGCAGCTAAAAGGTTTGGGATTAGTGCGCGAAAGAGCTTTCAGTGCATTTGTAGAGCTTTTAAGTGGGAAGCTTTCGCTTAAGACACTTACATACAATGTAAATTTTATGTACCGTCTCGGGAATGTATGGCATTAATATAGATACGGATGTTATTACATGTTTTAATGGCTGTATTATGTGCACTCGTTTGATGTTTGTGTAGGAATGTGTCAAAATAATAACTTCAATTAGCGTTAGAGAATTGACGTTTGCGGATGCAAGAATCGAGGGGAAAGGGTGGAGGGAGAGGCAAGGATGTTCGGTGTCCGGAAATAAACCGCCCGTAAAATTGTCAATTCCGAGGGAGCGTACTATGGACCCGACAATTTTGAATACTACGACCGAAACGGTCCCGTCGCGATACAATACAATATTTAAGAGTCTTCCAGATACCTCTGTTCCTTATATCTTATTAAACTGTTTATATTTAACACGCTTCACTACGAATTTTTTATTATTTACATGTGCTCCCATATTCCGTGTTAGTAAATAGGAAATGTCCGGAGTAAGTATTTATTTACGATACAATTTCTCGTGTATCCATAATCAAAATGTTATACGATATCCCGTCAGCAAAATACGCAATGCCATCTGGGTGGCCGCCAAAACAATCACTGTTATTCACTACTTAGTTCAGCGATACAGTAAAATTACACAGCGCTTTGGTTATATTCATTTCCTAAATTGTTACTGCATATAAAAGCGTATTAAATATTGTACGAGGTCACATATGGCTGCATTCGCGTCGTCGGAGCGTGTACAATAGAGGGGTCGCAATTCTAATATACTAAGGAGACCGTTGGCTATCAATCTTGTAATGAGTAAAACGTAGTGACCGGCGCGGGGCTCCCAGTCCCAAGTCGACTGCAAGCGAACTCCTACTCTTCCCCCGCGCTTTTTGAACTGAGATCATCGCTACACTCATCCGTGAAATTGATTCCCGGGAAAAGAAAAGACGAAAAGATAAATAAAAAGGAAATAGGAAAACACAAGCTAAGATTTGGCGTGAAATTGTTTTTCAGCGCCCGCCCACCTACGAAGCGTCTATGGCGCCCGGCTCGGAATTTCCCAATTACAGAGTGTAAATGTATTTACTTGATTATGTTGGCTGTGATCTTATCTATATAGTATCAAACGATTAGAGACAGTCCAGCGATGCATAGTCAAGAAGAGATTACTTTACAAGGCTTACATCAAATACAGTCAAAGATAATATCAAGATAAATGTAATATAATACAAATGAGAACGTGTTTCGGCATCACATCGTCCGAATTGGTATCTTAAAACACAGTGACATCTCATCCGCTACGTAATCCATTTGGCGAAGTAAGAAGCAATCTCATTCAATACCGGCCGCCCCCCGCTAGGGTTGCTAGCATTTGGATACTTTGAGAAAGCTGATTCACGAAACGCAATAAAACTTTTTATTTCTCTTTAACTACTTCCTCAATGTTATAGTGTGGTCGAAAAATAGAGCTAATATATCATATGCGACCACTTACAGTTTCAAATGTAATTTATTAGAATAAATTATTCCTCTGCGATAAAAGTATGTCTATAAGTGATTTATAACCGTAGGTAAGTCAGGTAAATTGTGTAATGTAAAAATAATGAATTGACAACCCTAGATAAGGAGTCAGTATCGCTTTCCTCGATTGTATTAGATTCAGCTGCCCTTTTTATCTACATGTCGGTCTTACTTGAGGGTCGCAAAAGGTGGATAAGCTCATATAATAGACATTCAAAGCAAACAAAACAAAACGATTTAAAAATCTACATATAAAAAATTATAACAAATATAATAAAACCAAAAAAAAAAGGTAATTTATTTCTCCAGCAAGCAAAAACCATGCATGAATAAAAACCATAACTTCCCATCCAATCAGTAAGTATATTCCGGTGGCGCAAAAAATAAGTTGTCAAGTCGAAAAACTATGAATATGATTATCCACAGCCATTCCAAAGGCTATCATCCAATAAAGCTAGTAGGTTCCAAAGGTATGAAATCCGTTTCGTCCGTACTGAAATTGAATATTTATCCGGGTAGTATCTCTATTCGGGAACAATTTTTATGTAGGGAGAACACAATCTCGAGATATTTGGGAGGGCCTCTCCTCGAAGATATTGGCAAATATCTTGCCTACATTACCTTTATTGGCTCGCGACATCGCGTGCCCGACTTGATCATATCACATATTAATAAAGTATTATTCCATACGTTCTTGTAATACGTCTTCAACTAATAAACATTCAATGTTTTGTATCATATTTGAATATATTCATGAGCTCTCAACACATACGCCGTCACGATGTTATTGTCACGCGTATTGACAAAAAAATATTAACTTGT